CTCTTCCCGGCCGTGCCGGGATGGGGGATCTGGGATACGGCTGCGAGGCCCCTGCGCCCGCAGCCACCCGCGCACCTGCTTGAGGGAGCCGGGCGTCCACGCCAGCTTGTACACCATGTAGACGGGGATGCACACGAAGGAGGAGGCTCCGAGCAGGGAGCCCAGCCAGGTGCTCCACGCCGGGTACTGGTAGTCGAAGAGCACCAGGGGCGGCTGCTCCAGCAGGGAGCTGGCGATGATGAACTACGGGGAAGCGCGAGGGCCGCGTCACGGAGGGCGAACAGCACGGGTGTAAGGGTGTACAGCACGAGTGTAGGGATGTGCGGCAGGGATATAAGGATGTACAGCATGGATGTTAAGGATGTACAGCACGAATGTAAGGATCTACAGCACGGATGTAGGGATGTATGGCACAGGTGCAAGGATGCGTACATCCTTGGGATGTATGGCACGAGTGTATGGATGTACGGGCACATGTATGGCCACGGGTGTAAGGATATACAGCACAGGTGTAGGGATGAATAGCATGCATGTATGGCCACGGCAAGCATATACGGCACAGGCATAGGGATGTATGGCAGGAATGTAGGGATGTATGGCATGGGTGTAAGGATGTAGGGCACGGATGTAAGGTGTCCTGCTGCAGAGAGGGCTCATCCTGGGGCTTAGTGGCGGCCCCGTCGCCTGCCCGCTGCTCCGGACGGTCACGGGCACTGGAGCTCGTGCAATGACATTGCTGGGGCTGCCGCCATCGTGCCGAGTTGCTCCTTGTTTGACAAACAGCCTGAAAAGGCTGCCCCTCCCCGCGGCAAAACAAAGCTGTTTGCTGTCTCCTTTGGTTGTGATACTGCTCTCTTAATAACCTAGGCAGGGGGCTCGGAGCCGTAGCTAATCCCAAGGCTCTCCAGCTGCAAATCCATTGGGATTAGCCCCCTCTGCCCCGTGCAGACGGCAGCCTTTGGAGTGTGCCCGGGCTGGTGGCTCCGCGGAGCCGCCCCGGACGGGCGCTGGGGACACCGCCGGCCTTGGCACTCACAGCCCCTCTGAATCAGGGGGTCAATGGGCCACATCCAGCACAGCTGCCCAAGCTCTGGAAAATGGATCTCCCTGTTCCCGAGAATCCCACCCTGTCCAAGGCTGGGGGCAGCCTGGCATGTTTCCCACTTAACGGAGGAGCTCCCTGGCTGTTTTGTGTTGCAGAAAAGTGGGATGCGCGTTTCCTTGGAGCAGCCCTGGGCTCGGCTCCGAGGGAAGTTGGTGAGTTGTGTCCCCCGGGATAAGGACACTCACGGCTAGAAAGGCCGGGCTGATGGCGACCCAGCAGATCTTCCAGAAGATGCCAGGGGCAAAGCCCAGCATGGCCTTCACGTCGCTGGAGAAGCGCTGGATCCCTGCCGGAGGACGGGCCGTCACGGCGCTCCCGGGGCACCGGCACGGCAGCGCGTGCGTCCTCGCGGGCGCTTACCGTAAAACCAGGACACGGCGATGGCTTCCAGCAGCACCACGGCCAGGATGGAGCAGCCGGCTCCGAACTCCTCCAGCAGCTTCACCACGTAGGCGCCGCCCTGCAGCGCCGGCACGTGGGGCTCGCGCGGAGGCTGCGGCCCCGCGGGGTCCCGGGAAGGCGCCCGCTCCGGCGCCGCCGCCGCACTCACGTAGGTGAGGGTGCTCCGGGAGCCCCGGACG